CTCGAGGCAAGTGTGTGGAAGCTTGTCATACAACGACTCCATCAATTTAGGTAAAATAATTCTATGCTAACATAAAAAGAATGAAAAATAATTCAATTATAAAAAATCGTTTGAATCTTAAAGTTTAATTTTTTGTTATATAGGTTATTAAATTCAACATAAAAGTCATCACGACGTGTAGCTAGTACAAAAATTAAGAATTTAACGTGACAATCAATGTGAGGAATTACATTTCTAAATTTTAGTAATTTTCTTTATTTTAAAATATATATTGATTACATGCAGGCTTTAGTTCAGTAGATTTATATTTTAGCAAAATTTTCATATTATTAGAAAATGTTTACATGACAGAAAATATATACAAGATATGCATGAGATGCATGATATGTATGATAGACATGATATACAATTTAAGTATGATAGGAAAATATGTATAATATAAGAGATATAAATGTATCAAAGATATGCATGAGAAAAGATCTATGAATAATATTAGGGATATGTATGATATGAGAGATATGTACGATGAATAATTACAAAATATAGTATATGTGCATGTTAGTGGATGTATGAAGATGACTCGGAATAATGTATATTATAAAGAATGAAATAATTTATATGTGAATGCTTGTATGTGCATGTTCAGATGAGAAGTTCACTCTCTAATTGTACAGACAGAGGACGCTTGTGTACTCACGCGGGTGGAGATTTTTAACCACCTCAGATAATTGTGATAGTTAAATCACTAATTGTTGTGCTGACGGGATAATATCGACCAGAAGCGAGTAGACCAAAACTTATCTTCCCAAACAATGGTGATGTTTGCATTGGTAACCGTTAGACCAATGAGATAATACCGGTCAGGAGGTACGTAAGGGTTCTTCCGCTCTAAACAGTTGCAATGTTTACATCACTAATCATTGTGCTGACGGGAATTGACGAGACAATATCGATCAAAGGTTTGTTAGGTTTTTTTTGATGGTGATCCTCACAGAAACATATATATATATATATATATATATATATGTAAAGACTATAAAGTAAAAGTAAAGATAAAATAAATGAATAAATAAGACTTGAATATTTTCATTTAGATTTTTTAGCATATATAAGATTTTCTATAAAAAAATGAAATACTAGCATATTATAAGATTTTTTATAGAGATATGAAAAACTAGCATGCATATTGATTTCTTTCAATAGGTTACTGTAGTTTAGAAGTCTGATTACTCATGTGTTATCTTTATATAAATTATTATGTTATTTTAATATTTTTTTAGATTTTGAACTTTGAATATGATAAATAGAAGATGATCAATTGTACAAAGGAGGCGAGAACAACAATAGAAAAAGCATAAAATTCTACTTTTCAATTTTAAATTTTTTTTAGTGGCTCTTTCATAGATTTTTTGAATATTAAACTTTTAGTGATAAAAATAGAATAGTAGAGAAATTTTTTCATTGTCCATTCCCGTATTTGTTAATTCTAAGCCCCAAACTTGGTCATGACATAAGTATGTTTTTTTCTCAATTTTTTGCTAACAGTGTTTAATCTTTGCTTGAATTGAATGTTGGGAAATTACAAGGTAATAATTATCATCCAAAAAATGATAGATATTGAAAACCTTACATCATTGTATGGATGAGCATTTCCAAACCTTATTTTTCCCAAAATCATTTTTAAAGCCCGAGTCAAATATGAAATCAATAAAAAAAAAATGCCTTAAAATTATCACGTCATTCTATCACCAAACACCTCCACACCATAGAACACTTCTCTTTTTTATAGGCATGTAAAATGAAGATCAACAAAGAGAAAACGTAGAAACACATAAATAGTATTCAACACGCAAGACTCCCCTCCAATAAATTCCATACACAAAAACCTTGTGAAAACCTAAAAGCTAAAAATCTTATGAGCAATTTGAAGCCTTGTTGCCTCCTACTTCCACTGCCTCCCTCACCTCCAATCAATGCTCTCTAATAAATATAACCATAATTTACAAGATGTACTTTAGCATTCTTGATGGGCGCCATATGGAGTAGAAATTGAGATGTTGAGAGCTCAATATAGCACTTGAGGATGACAACAACGTGGTGGACATAGAGAAAGGAGAAGTGTTTGCCGCCAACAAGGAGGATGAGGGTCGTGTCGATTAACCGTGGATAGAGAACTTGAGATTAAAAGAAGATCGGTTGATTGTTGTGCAGCTGAGGGCATGACGCACCGTGGGATCTAAGTTCTAAATTCAAGGAAAATAAATGTAATTGAGGGAGGGAGAAAAATGTGAAAAATAATTGTGATATTAATGAAATTCCCTTTGCTTGCCCACACTAACTTATGAGTGGTTTCGCCTATGAAAAAAAATTTTATGGTAGTATCATTATGTAGACTAAGTGCATGGGATACTAGTTAGGCCAATTAGGGGTGTCAAAAATTGATCTTGCACCCCAACTTGACTCGAAACCCGACTAAAAAGATTCGGGTTCGGCTCGACCCGCATACTTTTTTGGTTGAGTTGACCGAAAACTAACCATCACGGCCAACCCAAAATCAACCTATCAACCCAAAATTGTCCTGAGATTGACTTGAAGTCAACACGAATATGACCCAAATAATTTTTTGGGTCAAATTAGAAATCCTAACCCATTTATTTTCTTGGGTCAAGTTCAGGTTGAGCCACAAACCCAAAATTGACATGAAACTAACTCGCCAACCCGAAATCAACCTATCAACCCAAAATTGTCCTTAGATTGACTCGAAGTTGACCTGAATAACTGTTTTGTCATATATTAAATAGGTTATGTGGGTTGGTTTCGGGTTAGCTGGTTGAAGGCAGATTTGGTTCGGGCTTGGCTTTCTGACCCGTTTAATAATTTAACCAGGTTTGGGGCAAACAGTTTTTGATCAGATCAGTTTTGGGTTAGACCTGAATCAGACTCGCAAACCTGATTTTTGACATCACTAAGGCCAATAAAAAAATTAACAAATGAAGCAATTTAAATATAATCAATTAAGTCGCGGTTTTAGACAAAAAAATATTTAGTGTGAAGATCTACATTGAATGCCTATATCTGAAGAGTAGCATCAACCTAAGAAGTTTTCATATAATTGATTAGTTTGGGATACTTTTTTTTTATAATATTATCACACTTTTTCTTGTCAAAACTTGCATGTGCGAAATTGACACTAGTGGCTATGCTCGATCATTTCTACAGAGTGGTGCAAGGAAAAATAGACTGACATGGACTTACATAAAGTATAAACTTAAAGATGAATATCTATTTTTTGATAAGTATAGAGATAATTGAATGAAGTGTGAACAATTTAAGCATTGTAACAAAGTGATAAATGCAAGGATTGTGTTCATCTTATTCAAGGAGCTAATTTATGTGCAAAGATTGTCTCCAACACTTAAGAATTATGATAGATTTAATGGGTTATTGTGCCTTGGGATGATATACTTATATCTGATGATTTATAGATATCTTATAAAAAGTATAATTGTCTAGAATTACATGAGAAATATCAAATAATTATTTGTTGTAGTTGAGTATTTGTTTGATTGATTATAATGATGCAAAATTTTCTTATGTTTCCTTTTGCAGTTATTTTTTTTTTCGTGGCATTATAGATGAATATTTGATACTTTTATTTGTCATTGCCCTATAGCTGAGGGCGTATTTTTTCTGCAATTGTTTCATGTTTTGCTTTAGTTGTGTCAGATGCTTCCACATTAAGCTTTTTAATCTACTGTCTTTTTTATAAGGGCACTTTTTGTCCTCTCTCAACGTTTTTTTTATCTGGAAAAAAAGTGGCATTACTAGTTTTTGCTGGAGCACGAATTATAAAGTTAAATTTTTGTTATTTGCTGAAAGTTAAATTGAAAATGTTTTGTTCTTGTTGAAAGTTTTGTGTGCTGAATTGAAAATTGTACTGTTAGGCTGCATCTTGGAGGATTATGAGAAATTGTTTATTTTGTCTTTTTTGGACAAAAATTAATCTTGGGCATGAAAAAATTATTAAATGGTTTAATAAAAGAATAAATGTATATTTCCTCTTGATTTTATGTGATTTTGAATATGGATTATTCAAGTAGTTCGCAAGTTTTCATAACTTATTCTGGTATAAATCCTGGATCTTCCAATCAGTAATTTTTTTCTTTGTTCCTTTTTCTAATTTTTTAGGTGATTGGATGTGTGGATGTTTGAGATTTTGTCAAATTCAAAGGGCGGATTTCCTTCTTTTAATGTGGAGTTTATTTTTTGTAGAATTTTATATTAACTCATTTCTTATGGAATTTCAAGTATTTGTGAATTTAATATCATCATTTGAAATGAATGAGGTATGTTTATTTGCATCAACATTAATTAATCATTTCCTAAATTAAAATTTGAAAAAAAATTTGCCATTGGACATGCACCTCATAGCCTCTTATTTGAGGCTTACCCATCACAATTTGTGAGGCATGCCCTTGCTTCAAATCTGAAGAGATTTGTGCCTCATATTAATGGTCTAGGTTGATTTATTAAATTGATAATAAAATTAATAAAAACTCTTATTTTATTGCAAGGATGTGTAATTCCAAACCTTATCACACAACCATTTTTGTTGATTCAATGGATAAATAGTATTTGTTGTTGGTTTCTCTTGAAGGCACTGAAGGAAAGAAAATCTATCTAAATTTTATAGATTTCAAGCAAAAAGTGATAATTTTTCTATTGATTTTGATATTCTGAGCTTTGTTGATGCCCAATTGGAATGTTTCATTTCTCTTGAACGTTATTATTCTCTTCAAGTTAGCTTAATGTGATCTAATTGCTTTTTCATTCTAGGCTGCAGTCTTCTTATTAAATTTGTTTGCTTAAAAAAACATGTTTTTGTAACCAATGTAGCCATTTCTTATTTGCTGTTTTCGTTTCTTAAAGATGTACTTTACAAGTAGAAAACCTTTATTGGAAATTTAGAAATATTGATATTCTCTAATGTTTAATTTCAGATAGTATTTCCAACTCATCTGTAGGGACGAATTGCAAGCCAGATAGCAGCACTTATGACAGTATCTCATTCCAGTCAAGAACAGCAGTCATTGAGCTGCCAGTTCGGGTTGATTTTGTTGGTGGTTGGAGCGACACACCACCATGGAGTTTAGAGCGTCCAGGTTGTGTTTTGAATATGGCAATAAAATTAGAAGGTTCCCTTCCAATTGGGGCTGAGATTGAGACAACAGAACATCCAGGGATACTAATCTTAGATGATGCAAAAAATCAGTTATATATAAGTGATCCAAGCTCAATTTCTGGGCCATTTGACAAAGATGATCCCTTTCGGCTTGTTAAGTCTGCTTTTCTTGTCTCTGGTATTGTTCATCATAAGATATTGGTTGACTCTGGCATACGGATTAGGACGTGGGCAGATGTGCCCCGTGGAAGTGGGCTAGGAACTTCCAGCATATTAGCTGCAGCTATTGTAAAAGGACTTCTTTCTCTAATGAGAGAAGATGAAAGTAATGAAAATGTAGCTAGAATTGTTTTGGTGCTTGAACAAGTTATGGGCACAGGAGGAGGATGGCAAGATCAAATAGGAGGTCTATACCCAGGCATAAAATGTACAAATAGTTTTCCAGGACAGCCACTAAGGTTGCAAGTCATTCCTATTGTAGCTTCGCCTCAGGTGGTACAGCAGCTGGAACAACGCCTTCTTGTAGTTTTCACCGGCCAAGTAAGCTTCTAGTCTGATTACCGTTTAGCATAGTGTCTGGATTCAATTCAATTGCATAGGTTAGGAGTAATTTGGAATTTATTCAAAAATATTTTCAAAAAATAGATTTAACATCCTAGGCAATGCTTAGCAAAAATAATTGAAAAAGAGAATTCATGATGCTGCGACCAAATAGGTTTGATGAGGTCAACGATGATGACAATAACAGTGACGATGATGGCATAGGTTGGGAGAAAGTTGCTCGTCATTGGGGAGAGCATAGAGCTGACAAACAGACTTGATTTTATTTACTAGTAGAAAATCATTTCTATAGAAGAATGAAACCTTTTATAACAATCAGTGTTAATTGCACGACTATATTTGCTTTGGTTAGGCTGTTCAAGTCAAGATATGGACCTAAACCTTGTCCTAGAGCTTGTTGCATGTTGAATTTGCTTGAATCACCGAATAAAAAAACTCACTTATTTGACAGTCTACAAATGGTCGGCTTAATTTTAATCTTCACTACCAAGTCATTAAGCTCAGCCAATATTCAAGTTGTCCACTCGTTGAGAATACTCACCTAAAGCAATCATCAATTTACAAGTGTACTTACGCGAAGTATCGTTGATCATCTAGTACTCGCCAATCCTTGCATTGCAATATAGAACTCATCAGTCCAACTTGGAACTCATCCTCCTAAATAGAACTTGCGGAGTGCTTCTATGACATGAAGAATTGAGTTCTTCACTTGCCACACAACCAACAACAGACCTGATGGAGACTACTCGTCAATAGTAATTGTGCTTAGCCCCCATCACCATATATACATAGGGGTTAAGTTTCTTAGCACAAAGGATTGTAATTTGAATTTTTTTTAACCGTATATTGTTGATCGTCTTCTCAAACACAGAAATCCTTACATTGCAGTTTCCTCTAATCATACCAGAATGGTAATAAGGCAACACAACAGTTTTATGTGCTCATTCCTTCGCTCCTACAAACCATTATGCAGGTTCGACTTGCCAACCAAGTATTGCAGAAGGTCGTTAGGCGCTACCTTCGCAGAGATAACATGCTGATATCAAGCATCGAGCGGCTCGCAGCATTGGCGAAAATTGGAAGGGAAGCTTTAATGAATGATGATATTGATGAGATTGGTAATATAATGCTGGAGGCATGGATGCTTCATCAAGAATTGGATCCGTATTGCAGCAATGAGTTTGTGGACAAGCTGTTTGCCTTCGCTGACCCCTATTGCTCCGGCTACAAGCTTGTCGGCGCTGGTGGAGGTGGTTTTGCCCTGCTTTTAGCCAAGGACCATTGCTGTGCGCAGCAGTTAAGAAGAGCTATTGAAGACTCTCCAGATCTAGACGTGAAAATCTACAATTGGAGCACTTTTTGAGGTTGGCTTAACTGATCATTCTAATCTGTTAAAACTGCAATGTGCGGGTGCAATCACCTCGAAGACCTCCCTCGCCTTTTTTTTCTTTGCTTCGAGTGGATGGATGATGGAAGCTGGATTTTTACAAAAGTATTTCTTACTATGTTGTGGGCTTAAGAGTGGATATCAACTAATTCGGTTGGTAAGTGATCTTTGCCTGCATAATAATAAATCGTCATTTTGCAGACATTTGGTTGAACAAAAATTTTAAAAACAATAAGGCATGGGTTCAAGAAGAGAATTTATCTGGTGGAATAAGGCTTGAGTAGATTTAATGAGCCTTGTGTTTATGTTTTTAGGATTACATTTTGTTGATTGATTAATAAATATTGTGATGATCTGAGCGTTTCTGCAAATATGGCTTCTCCATTGCTTGTTTTTATCGTTTTACATATGAAGCATCCTCGGATTAGCTACCAGAATGAGCTGAAATAAGATTTGGAAGAAAAAAAATTACAGGCAGCCTTTTGTTTTGCTCATAACCTCTTTTATTTGTTTCAAAGTTCATATCATATGTTTTGATAAATTCTCCTTTGATTCTAAATTTTAAGAAAATAATATGAAATAAATTGAAGGCATGTATTACGATTTTGAAGAGACTACTAAAGTTTGAAGATATTTGTGGCATTAAGATTTTATTTTTGTGGGCGATGATGAATCCATTCATATGAGGAGCAACATGGTTGGCTCATAAGTTAAAGATGGCCATGCAATTAATCATCCCCTTCTTTCACATGCACCGCATTTTGATCAGCTCTTTCGACCCTTGTTCTTGCTTGCATTCTCTTCTCTTTATTGTAATGTCATCCCTGGGCTAAGACATTTTTTCAGGACATTATTATATCTTTGATTGCACAACTGTTTTTCACATAATTAATCTTATTAAGCTGCTTTAACATACATGATTTGTCCTTATATTTAAGTCAGAATTGTAAAAAAGCATTCTAATATTTATGCAGTACTATTATTCTTCAAGAATGTTTGCATGCTAGACTTCTTAAAATTAGACAGTACAGACGACGACGACGACAACGACAACAAAGCCTTAATCCCACTACATGGGGTTGGCTACATGAATCATTTTTCTCCGGTGCGTCCTATTTAGAGACAGTACAGAAAACAAATTTATTCATAAAAATAAAAGGTTATATACTGTTGAGTAGAATTACAGATCCATTTGGTCTGCTTTTCTTATGATATGAAACAACTTTCTACCACTAATTTGTTTAATTAAAGTGTGATATCCAATGTTCAATAAAAAAGAGAATCTAACAACATGAAAAATTTTATTTTTTTTATAAAATAATTTTACAATTTTTTTCATCAAAAGCAACATTCGAAAAGGACCGTAAAACACTAGTCATGTATTTATTCTGAGCAGAAGCTTAGTTGTACAGTAATAACTAAATTTTTAGTTAAATAATAAAGGAATAAAAATATTAAATAATAATATTATTATTATTGAATTGGAGCCGTTGGGACGATTTGTAAGGTGAAGTCAGGAGGGGGAGGGAATCTCATGATCATTCTTCACTCCTAACCGTCACAGACGAATGGAGAGCGAGAGAAAGAGAGGGAAAAGTAGTAAAATAGGAAGAAGGAGAAGAAGATGCCGAAGAAAGGAGTCTACGGCTCTGTCAAGGCCCAAGAAAGAAAGGGAAGTAGAGCAGTAAATCTTGAGAGTCGAGCAGCGTCGTGCGTGTGTTGTTGAGTTGAGCCAAAGTCGAATGAGGAAAAAGAGAGGATCTTCGATGTAGCAGAGGAGGAGGAAGGGTTTTCGCGTTGTCTCTGCATGCAGAGGAGGGATGAGATGGCTTTGGCGCTATAGAATAGCGATAAAACCATAGAGGAAGAGGAGGAACGAGTGGCTCTGTTGAAGGTGGAAGAAGCTCAGACACGACATGGAGGAAGAAGCGGAAGCCTCACGCGCTCTGTTGGGGTGAGACGGGACCAAAGGAAGAAGGGGGAAGAAGAGCTCGCATGGTTGAGTGCGAGCTTAGGCGACTCAAACACTTTAAAATTCGGTAAAGTGTTATATTTAATTAAACAAATTAATATATTATTTTTATATATGTGTATGTGATTATGAGTTTAATAAAATAAGTGCTAATAGAAGTTTTATTGAATCAGGATCCTAATATAGATATGTTGACTTTGAAGGAGAAGTTCGTGGAGCAAGGAAGGAAAGAGTTGATCTCAAAGCCGTAAATACTAAAACTTATGTTATTAATGAAATTAATGACTAGCTAAATTAATTAATGTTATTAAATTTAATTACTATTATGAAGTGATAAAAAAGATCGGCTAATCCTTTGGATTTGAGGAAGAAAACAGATAATTGTAAAAGCTAAGGTATGTTTTAAATTAAAGTTTAATTTACTTAATTAGGAACTGATATTTAATAAAATATTAATATTTAACTGCAATTTAGTTTAAAACATATTTAAGCCTAGAAGATCAGAGCTTAGGGAGTTCGTGTGGCAAGCAAGCTAAGCTATGAGTGATTATTTTTTTTTTATGCATAAAATTAATGTTTAATTAAATGAATAATTACAATAAATAATTTAAAATCAATATTTAATTTATCAATTTCAATTTGAAAGTCTGAATAGTACAAGCGATGGTAGGAAAACAACAGGCTGATGAAGGTATTTAAATTCATATGAAATGAAAGACAAATATTTAAGTCATACAAGAATGCCCCTAAATGGTATTGACATGGGTTTAATGTACCCGTACACGTTAAAGAAAACGGTAAATGTGCACCTTTGAGTGAAATTTAAGAGTGCCTTCGGGTACATTTTTTATGGTGTTTATAAGCATATTTTTTAAGATATTTTCAGGTATAACAGTAATCTTGCGATAACTATTAAAAATGTTAAAAATAGTAAATAATTAAAAGTGAAATACAAATGGCTAAAATAAAAATTTAATGAAATGAACTGCATTTTTTTTTGCATTCATGCATAACTTAACATAAAAATTTAATGCATATTAGATCACAATTACTCATTAAGTCATACTTAAGATTGTAATTAAAGATCTCTTTCAGGAAAGGAAAAACTTTCGATGGATATGTCTGATAGTAGAGATTTGTTTTATAGGAGGATTGCAGTTGATATGTACTAGTATGATATGTTTGTAGCCAACAGATTACAAAGGCAGTGCTGCACCACCTTAGAGGAGCTGTGGTAGATCGAGGACATGTAATCTTCAGGGTCAGTGCCAAATGTAGGCCATAATCAACAAAATGTTTAGCCCAAAATATATACTTTTTGCAACAAAAAGCTAAGGAATCCCCTAGCATAATCACAGGTTTGTTTTACTTTAAAATTTTTCAATTCTGTGTCTTTTAAGCATCATACGATTCATGTCACGTCATACATAAAAAAAGTAAAATTATAAGTATTAACAAGCTCTCTAAATTTCAATGCAATGATTTTAATGATAGGTATCATATATCTTCAGACTAAACCAATAAGAGTATTATTTGATTCAAGAGTATCATACTCATTTATAGTGATGATCTGGCTAAAGTGATGCAATTGAATATATTTTCGATGTTTGTCATACTTCAGTTAGAATACCAACTAGTGCTTTTCTGGGAGTTAAGAAATCATGTGAAGTGAAGCTTGTAATTGACAGAAAAGATTTTGAGACCCAACTTATTGTATTGCCTTGGTGGAGTTTGATGCGATTTTAGGCATGGATTGGATGCCTAAAAACTTTGTCACTATTGATTGCAATAAGAAGTTTGTCAAATTAAATTACCTGGGGAGGTAAAAGTTAAATGTTCTGGTGATAGAGGACTGATATCTATGATAATAATCTGCATGAAAAATTTTAAATTGTTGAATCATCAAAATCAGGGTTTTCTTGCTCAGGTAGCAAATAATTATAAGTATAATTTTTTGGTGATATTCCAGTGATAAGAGAATAATGAGACGTGTTCCTTGATGATTATTCAGGGCTACCACCACTACAAGAGATTAGATTCAATATTGAGCTCTTACCAGGTTCTGAGCCTGTATCCAAAGCACCCTACAGAATGACAGTTAAGGAGTTGCAAGAGCTGAAAAGTCAATTGCAATAATTGCTAGATAAGTGATTTATGTGATCTAGCACCTCACTTTGGCGAGCTCCGCTATTATTTGTAAGGAAGAAGAGTGAGAGCTTCAGAATGTTTTGTGAACTAACGGCTCTTTTATACATTAGAAGTTTTTGAAATATTTTGTGAAAAGTAAAATGAGATGTTAATACCGTCGGGCCGCAGTACCCGTCTTAGTTAATTCTAAGCACCGGAACGGGCCATGACAACTACTGTATCCTCCGTAAATGTTGCATAACTTTATAAGAACATAAACTCATTTTCAAAAAAAATTGTACATAAAAACCTAATTTGGGAACAAATACTTGCACAACCAAAATATTTGACACAAGTACAACTTAATTTATTCCACAAATTTCTATGGGGCACATAAAAGCACTCAAATTACACTTAATATAACATAACAATTTCAGCAAGCTCCATAGAATTTCCTTTGTCCAAAATAACTGCAACAGCCTCGATCAATGGATTAAAAAACAAAACCATAATAACATCACAAGCAATTAGATCTTAAAATCATTCTGTCTCAACATAAATTAAACAAATTAACTTGAAATTAAAACAATCACGAGGGGGTAAAAAAATATGATTCATCCAGAGGAGGATTCAAGTTCAGAAGTTGCAGGACAAATTAGCTCAATTACAGTCTAGAAAAATATACAAATATGACTTGAGTATAGATATTCTAAAATATATCTTTTTTAGCATGATATTAAAATATTTAAATTCTATGATTCGATCTCAACAAAAAGACTTGCCTGAGGATGTAAACCTGCTTCCTTTAGAGTTAAGGAAAATTTTTCAGGGCCATAAGAGACTCTTGGAAAGTTGGAGACAAGATTATACTTCTCAGCATTCAAGCAATCCAGAGAGTCAACGTAGTCGTAGAGGGCCTGGACGGTTGCAGTGCTGTCGAACCTCCTTTCCTTGCGCTCACCCGTAGGAAATCGCACCAACACCTGAAATTTTTAATAATTTAAATAACTGAGGGAATCAGTTTATATATATATTTTTTTAAAAAAGGATGAATTGCTCAAAGGATTTATGGTTGGCCATTATTTCTGGAAAAAAAAAATAATTCAAATCAACTCTAATAATGCTGTTTGAATGTGGTAACTGATGTAATGGATATGAGTAACAATGATGTGCATGTTGAAGCTAAAATAAATGGAGCTAATTTCTACAAATCTGAATATCGTTAGCAGTGTTATATGACTGTTGGAATTGGCGCTATTTATGTTTAGGCTTGAGTAACCATTTCGGTTATTTTAATCACCGCATGGAAAGTAAGTGATGTGAGAGCTAGAATTTTATTTCAGTATGTCTTGATTTATGTGTTTTAGTTTGTTATTTGTGTCTTTATGTTTTAAGATGCATACTTGTAATTAGGAGAGTCTGGTCTTTAAAAATAAGGGTTATTTTATGTGGGCTGAAAAAGAAGGGAGTTTTTAGACTTGTGTTTATTTTGGTTTTATCCATTATCTTAATCTTCATGTTATTCACTATTTTTTTTTTCTAGTTCTTTCTACTGTTCTTACTAAAATCAATATCTACCCCCTATTGGCCGGTAAAATTTTTGATATCGGAGCAATGGTATTATTGCGTCCAATCCTTTTTTCAATCGGCTGAGATCGTCCCTATACTCCTGAAATTGGTTGGTGGATTGGGTTGAAGATTTCATCAACCTAGCTCATATGTAAAATTGGTTCTTGATTCTCTGCTCCACATCCCTACAATGCTCTCTCGAATCTACCATCAATCAATCGCTGCCTGAACCGAGAATTCTTGATCCAATCTTGAAGCAATCCAGACCGTATCCCTACTGTCCTCTAGATTTCCTCTCAGTTTTCTGCACTGTTCTTCTCAGAACTACAAACATAATAGATTTTGGTCTGCATTGATGGTAATTTTGAAGCAGCACCTTGGCATCATCTCTATGAATTTTGCCCTTGCCGAACCAATCCCGCATCATTTGAAACATAGCAGTCTTTCTTTCTTGGGTTGTTCTCTATTTTCTTCCCAGTTGTCCAACCACAAGGAGCGGATTATTATCTCCGCCATGATTTCCTATATTGTGACCGCAATTCCTTTTTTGTCCGCAATTCCCTTCTTTCCAGCTATTGAAGTTGATAGGCCTTATCTTGGGCTTCTTGATTCCAATTCTTGCCCACAAATTGCGAACAAATTTCTAAACCTGCCTTCTTGATTCCAATCATACGCAATAACATTCCAAGAACTTATCAAGAAGTGTCTATGGAAGATCTTTTGCGTGAAATGCGGTGTATGCAAAAGAGACTTGCAACATTGGAATAGAAAAAACGAAGGAACACACAATGGCACACAATCCCGAAGTAGCGAAAGAAGGAGGTGAAAATCGTTTCACAAAGCATCTTCAAACGAAGATGAGCAGCCCCTTCACACATGAAGGTCAGACAATGCAAAGCCGCTGATCTTAAAATTAGGATAGATATTCTTGATTTTGAAGGACGTCTAGACTCTAAAAGATTTATTAATTGGTTGCTCACCGTCGAAAGAATTGTTGAGTTCAAAGAGGTTCCCCAACCTCAAATTGTGAATCTTATTGCTATCAAGTCAAGAAAGACTTGCTTCCCTTTGGTGGAAAAACTTATATCAGATGAGGTAAAAAAGTGGGACGATCTAAGATTAGTATGTTGAGTAAGATGAAAAAGGAATTGCAATGCAATTTTTTGTCTGATCCCTATCGGCAAAAGGTTTTCATTCGTCATCATAATTTACACCAACAAGAGATGACGGTAGAAGAATACGCATCTGAATTCGAGCATCACAAATTAAGATGTACTCTATCTGATTAGACGAACATACTTGCACGATTTTCGAGTGGTTTAGAGTCTTTTATAGCTCATGTTGTTCAGCTTCAACCTTATTGGTTACTCTAGGATGTTGTTAACCTTGCCTTGAAGGTGGAACAATAGCAAAAAAGGGGCCAGAACAACTCTTTGCGTGGTGCAACAGCTGAACAGACCAGTCAACAACTGGTATGTAGTCCAACCGATGGAAAATCTGTTATGTAGGTGGGAAACAATTCAACTAATAGACATTGCTTCAAATACCATGGATTTGGTCATATAGTCGTGCCATTTTTGTTAGTGGAAGAGGGTGAACTTGAGACAGAAGATTCATTGGAAGAGAAAGTCACTAATTTGATTGGGAAACAAATAATACATGCAGATGAAGGAGAATTACTTGTAGTGCAATGTCTTCCTACTGTTAAGAAATCCTCCAACAAGGATCGGTTGCAACACAATATTTTTTTAACCCAGCACACCATCCAAGGCAAGGTGTGTAATCTTATCCTTAACACCGAGAGTTGTGAAAATGTGTTGTCCTCTAACATGTTTAAAAGCTCGAGCTAGCTACCCAAGTTCACTCACATCCTTGTCAACATATTTCGCTTAAACGAGGAAATAAAATCAAAGTGTCAAAGTAATGTTTGGTACAATTCTTGTTGGGAAGAGGTCTCAAGAGAAAGAATTATGCGACGTCATTTCAATGGGTGTTTGCCAACTCCTTCTAGTGCATCCTTGGCAATATGATCGCAAAACCATTCATGGCGAGAATGTAAATACGTACGTACTCCTTCCTGGACAATGATACTCAAATTACCTTGATTCCTATGCAAGAGAAGGACGAAAGAATTTGGAGGACTATTCAACTTAAAACAAAATTTGAGATGGAGGAAGAAGTTAAAGACACATTCCACTAAGAGAATTGGACGGATCAAGAAAATAAAATTCTTGAGGAAGGAGGTGAAAATCCATTTCATAAAAAAAACCTCAAGTTTTGATAGGTTTGAAGATTCGATGTTGGAATCATAGTTAATGGCTACGTATGACTCGAATGAGAATGACTATTTTTCAGAAGGGATTCCAAAGTGAAAAATTATGAATATCGAGTTGACATCAGAGCTGATGATGAATATTTTTATGCTAGAAGGATTTGCAGGGTGATCAAACAAGATAATATGCTAATTCTGCTTCTCTAAGACATCAACATAAAACCGATATATATGATAGTATGGATCAGGCATCATTGCTTTGACAACAACCAAGCTTGAAAGCTTGGTCACTGCGTTCCAAACATGATATGAGACAAGCCAAATATCTTTTAGCAAGAACCACGCCAATTAGTCATGGTTCTCAAGAAATTGATATCAAGTGGATTGAGATGCTTCAGAATTGGAGCTGAAAACCCCTTGATTCATTTTCAACAGTGACTGTTAAAAGATTCTTGGATCATCAAACTTGACCTACAAGAGGATTAGAGTGACTCACCATCACTTTCAATGTCTCCAAATTGGTTGTTCATTACGAATCAAATTATGAAACTGCTAAAAATGAGCGAACATTGCCAACCCCAAGAGAATGAAGCGAGAGCTAGAATTTTCTTTCTGTTTATAGGTCTTGCTTTATGTGTTTTAGTTTGCCATCTGTGTCCTTATGTTTTAGGATGACATATTTATAATTAGGAGACTAGTTTTTATAAATAGGGGTTATTTGTGTAGACTGAAATTGAATGGGGTTTTTATAGTTGTGTTCGTTTTCACTTGGGGAGGTTTCGATCCATCCAAACCTTGCCTTGCAGCAGTACTCTAGATTAGTACCTAGGTAGTGTTTAGCCATTATCTTGTCCTTCATGTTATTCACTATTTTTTTAAGTCTTTCAATTGTCCTTCATATATTCAAGTTTGCTCTGCCATATAGCAGCCAACTGCCCAAATCGCCGTGTCATTTCGTTAGTGGAAAAGGGTGAACCTAAGGCAGGAAATTCATTAGAAGTGGAAGACACTAATTTGATTGGGAAACAAAAAATGCATGCGGATGAAGGAGAATTACTTATAGTGCAGGACCTTCTTAGTGCCGAGCAATCCTCCAATGAAGATTAGTAGCAGCACAATATTTTTAGAACTCGATACACTGTCCAATCCAACACAAGAGGTGTAATCTTATCACTGATAGCGAGAGTTGTAAAAATGTGGTGTCCTCTACCATGGTTGAAAAGCTCGGGCTAGTTACCAAAGTTCACCCACATCCATATCAACTTATTTGGCTTAAAAGAGAAAATAAAATCAAAGTCATAAAGCAATGTTTGGTGCAATTCTTCATCGAGAAGAGATTTCAAGACAAAGTAATATGCAACGTCATCCCAATGGATGTTTGTCAATTCCTAGGGCATCCTTGGAAATATGATTGCAAAATCATTCATGATGGGCATGTATATACGTACTCCTTCCTGGATAAAGGTACTCAAATTACCTTAGTTCCAATACAAGAGGTGCGAAAAAATTTGGAGGACCATCCAGCTTAACCAAAATTTGAGGTGGCGGAGGAAGTTAAAGACCCATTTCACCAAGAAAATTGGACGAATCAAGAAAATGAAATTCTTGAGTAAGGGGGTGAAAATCCATTTCATAAAGAAAACCTCAAGTTTTGATTGGTTTAAAGATTCGATGTTGGAATCAGCTTCAATGCCTGTGTACGACACGTATGATGATGAATATTTTCAGCCTCTAACGATGGATATGCACAAAAGGGAGACCAATTTTCCGAAGTTAAAAATTCTAAATATGTAAGTTGACATAAGAGTTGATGGTGATTCTTATACTTGAAGGGATTTATAGAGTGATCAAACAAGACCTTATATCGATTTTATTTCTCTTAGCCATAAATATGAAAGCGATAAACATGATCATATGGGTCAAGCATCATTGTTTCGACAACAACCAAACTTTAAAAGTCAGTCATTTCATTCCGACCCTAATATGAAATAAGCTGATATCATGAATTAGCTATTAGCAACACAATATTTAAGCAAATAACAATCATAAATAAACTTTAAAAAGCAAATAAAGAATTGTACAATCAAGTATATTCAAAGCAGCATAGACAGTGTCCCAATGGAAAACAAATATAAATTATTCAACTAGAAAATATTGAAATTCAAGCGTCTTTATTATCATGAAAACAACGTCAATAATTGATCGTACTGACATGGGTCATCGTCATAAAAAACTCTCGACGAGTTGGGTCTTCAAGCAAGGTCATGGAGAACATATATAATGACATTTCCTCGTAAATTTTTGGAGTTGCCTCCAAAATTCACATAACTTGCTAAATGGAAGTTGTATGTAATGTGTCAGGATCATTGGTGAATGAAGCAACTAACTGTGAAAATTGACTTCTAATGAAACAGCAGTTTCTTTTTTCTATTTCTGAACTCTCTTTGATCGACTAGTGAATTCAAGTTTTTGGACTGGGTTCTTCGTTCGAGTCAACAGATTGTTCGACATCTAATTTCTCAGCTATGTCAGCAAACCTCGCTCACTAGAGGCCCGTGAATGATTGCTCGTTGTCACGACTCCACCAAACATACAATCCAACTTCTCTTCCAGCTCAGGGCAATGCTACTAAATTTAATTTTTTTTTGCTTTTGGCACCACCTACCAAGTAATGGGGAGATGGATATGTTGACGTATATGAAAAAATAAAAAAGTAAAAAAGATGGACGTTTCATCAATTTTCACCTCTAATCTCTCGGCCCGCCATTCTTTCAAAGCATCAGTTGTTTGCTTTATCGGATCTCATCCAAAGCTCGTGGATTCTTGTTTCAATTCTTTCCAAAAATTTCAATCTTTTTTTAATTTATCTCATTTGTTTTTCAATTGCATCCTATCGTATTTCCTTTCTGTGTTTTCCTTGAACTTTTTTATAATACTTTATCAGTCATCCTTGTTAAAATAAGTTATTGGCATATTTCTCAATTTTACCTCTTTGAGGCAAATGTCGCAAAATATTAGTTTGGTCTCTTTATCCCACATAGCAAATGAACCGTTTTCTTTTGTCTTACTAGCATTAAAAGAACTAATCAACATAAATATTCACAATAAAAAATATAAAATGTCATTGAAAATACCACAACTCAAAGATAATTAGCATTACCAATAAAAAGAAAATAATTACGAATACCACCACCACAACACCACATCACACCACTACCACAACACTAACACCACTCCACACAATTACTACTGCCAACATCAACACCACTACCAACACCAACACCATTACCACACTCAAAAACCACCACTATCAACACAGCTAGTGCCACAATACCAACACCACCATCACCACATCACATCAACACCGCCACCACGCCGCCCCACCCCCCCATCCCCCACAATCACCACAACACACCAAAACACCAACACCATCCCATATTTTTTTTTATCAAATTCCCAATGGTTTGATCATGACAAGGGTTAATGCATTGATTTTGGGTGCCCTATATGTAATTTACCCAAATCATTGTCATCCACAAATCAAGCACCTTTCAATTATTTTTCATTCTCACTCAAGCATCAAAGGTGATGATAAAACCCATTCCATATTTTTCATTTGATACAATTACATACAGGGCACCCGAAACAATACTATCTACAAATCAAGCACCCTCTTTCATCCATTTTTCGATTTCTAACTCAAACGTCAATTGTAGTGATAAAAAGTCATCCCATATTTTTTATTTGAGTTGATTACCTACACAGCACCCGAAACATTGATATCTACAAATCAAGCACACTCTTTCATCCATTATTCAAATTCTAACTCAAACATCAAAGCTATCAATATTTTGAAATTGAGGCAGATACCCACAGGGAACCCGAAACATTGTTATCAGCAAATCAAACACCCTCTTTAATCCATTTTTCAAATTCCCACTTTAAAAAAACATTGCATGTAAATATAAACAAACAATCATATATACATGGCAACCAACACATTGCTTTGCTATCTACTAATCAAGCACCCTCTTTCATCAATTTTATAAATTCTCACTTAACATCAAAGCTATCAATATTTTGGAATTGAGGCAAATACATATATGGCACCTGAAACATTGTTATCAACAAATTAAGCACCTTCTTTCATCCATTTTTCAAATTCCCACTCAAAAAAATCAGTGCAAGTAAATGTAAACAAACTGCCATACATACATGGCAACCAAAATATTGATATCAGCAAATCAAGCACCCTCTTTCATCCATTTTTCAAGTTTTCACTCACAAAATCAGTAGATGTGAAGAATAAACAAACAAAATGGTAGACACACAAGGGTAAGAGAAAGTCATTCCACCTAACGTGGCAAGACAAATTCAGTCTACACTCTTTTCCAATTTTATCACAAACACAATGGTAAAACATCATCCTAAACCGTAAATCCACCATCCCAAATCGTAAAATCAAAGAAGGTAAACGAGAAAGCCGCACATCTCAAAATCCACAATATTATAACCATAAAACGCAAATGATAAAGTAACAAATCACAATGAGATAATCATTTCATCAAGAATGAGCACAAAAAATACATATAGAGCACAATAATTGAAAGAGGCACAAGAGAGACGCGAGAGAGTCCCCTAGGGCAGAAGAAACAAAATAGAGAGAGGAACCTAAGGCAGAAGAAACGTGAGGAAGACACGGAGGAAACACGTGAAGCGCGGAATGGTTAAAACCTGTGGTCCATTTTTAACATAGCTCATTAAGATAGCCACCCCATTGTACTAATCCAAACGGGTGCATTGGCATTTTCAAACCGCACCGCACCAAAAAAGCTGCCTCAAACATGCTCTAATTCTGATTCTTTTTTATTTTTACTATTTCAAGAAAAAGTTAGTTTGTATATTTAGTAGCCTTCATTTTGTGGATCTTAATTTTTTTTTTTTTTTGTATGATATACATTATTGTATCAACCTAATTGCATTAGAAATCCTAGACGCTTAAGTGTCCTATATCACTATATAACAAAAGATAGTGAATATGCATTTTTCTGTTGAATAGTTTTCAATCATTTCGCCCCAAGTGAAAAGGATAATTATCAATTAGTTATGCTTGAAGTTCTTATGATTAGTGGTTTTTCTCACGAAAGAAAGCGAACTAAAGATTCTACGATATATTAAGGGTTTTGCTTGAATTTCGTAAGGTTGAAGTGTTCCTAAATAAGATGCACTAACACAAATATGAGGACATACATACAGACACGAGACACGTCTTTTATTAAGAAAATAAAATAAAAACATGTAACTGACAATAGATTACAATTTATACATCTCAAAAGTTTGAAATAAATTATGATGTACATGTCTATACAATATAGTAGAATAACTTAGAAATTATATCTTAATAATAAAATAAATCACCTTAACATGAAATTAATATGCATGTATGGTAGAAAATAAACCATGTTTAACGAATATGCAGAATTTTTTTAGACATTTTTAATAACAAGCTATGCTTAATGTTACTTAGTAGAAAACAAACTATGTTTAATTGAATATATTTAATGGACACCACAAGTTCTTTAGACAAATAACCTTATTAAGAAACATATGCGATTCAGTAATTTAAAGGTTTTTATTAAATATTTAATATATTTCATAAAATCTTAAAAAGTTATTTGAATCATGCATGCCAGATACACATGCCTTTTTTTTTTTTTTTTGATTGGGCACATTTCTGATTGGGCACATTTCAGTCATTGGGCACATTTCAGTCATGTCCAAGAGGCGTCATGCAAAGTGCTTCAACCAAGAGTGTTGGTGCATCCGAAATTTCTTATGAAAGCAACAAACTAAAGAATCTATGACATATTACATGTGACACGAAGAATGCTGCTTTTATATTGCAACACATACAATTACGAGGAATTATCTTTTAGCTCTAATAAGACTGTAACTAGAGGTAGCAACTAAACATTTTTTTAAAAATTGTTTTCTATCCTGTAACCCGTATGAAAAGAATATATCAATGTCAACTTGTTCTGCTCGAAGTTTTAAAGACGGGTGGTGTTTCTAACAAAAGAATTCAGTGAAGATTTTATGACATACTAAAAACTACATGAATTCCATAAGATGAGTAGCCTTTCTAACATAAGAAAATACCAAACTAAGCATTCAACAAGATAATAAGTGAGACATGTAGAAAGCCATTTCCACTACAACACAAAAAATGAAGGGATAATAAAATGAACTTTAGTTAAAAAAATGTTTTGATTAAATTTAAGATTTAAAATGGCCCACAATTTATGAGAAAAATATTTTGAAGAGAAATTAGTATTGAAAGAAAAATTTTCTGGAACAGGTTAATCTAGGAGTCATTGATAGGCTCAAAATGTTAGTCTTTACAATGAATAAAGGAGGTACCGTTTCAATCAAAGAATGTATAACAAAAGTAAAACTAGAAATCTAGTTAAAACTGACTCAAATTTTGCAACTTGAGTGGAACACTCAATTTAACTAGAAATATGTAGTTGACCAAACTCATAACAATGTTTGATCATATTGCAGACATATAACTTGATTAATCATATTAATTGAAACCCCTACATAGAACTGAAGCTGTAAATCTTATTTTTATGGTAAATGTTAAAGTATTTTTTTATGGCAGCCCCTATGTCAATTTGACATGGAAAAAATGACAAAATGAAAAAACATGTTCTAGAAGCATACTCGAGTGACGTCCGGACCCTTCGCGGGCTCAGCACCTAGTGACATGGCCTTTTCTTGACGTCTTCTAGTGATTGCAGCTTCTCTTTCAACAGCCTCACGAATAGCCCTATCTCGTGTCTCTTCCTCTTCCTTATTCCTCCTTTCAGCTTCCATAGCTTCTCTTTCAAGCCTCTCCTGCTCTTCTTTTCTTTGAAGCTCTCTAGCCTTTTAGTCATAGAAATGAAAAGTTTATCAAGATATAGATGATGAACACGTATTTTAACACCGATTAATGCATCAATAATAGCTCAAGAAAATGGAGCGTGTTTATATAGTAAACTGTATTTAGTGTTAACAAACAGCAAACCTGATCAGCTTCAAGTGCTGCTCTATATGCAGCATCCTGCTCCTCCCTTAGTCGTAGATTGTTCCTCCGCTCCTCTGCCTCAAGCCTAGCCGTAACAAGAGGTGTAGTACTCTCTTCCAAAACACGCTGAAGGATAGCTAACATTTCTTCTGGAGTTTTCAGCCCTTCGACCTAAAAAGTAACATAGGATATTAGAAAATGTGATGAAGAGGAACAAATCAAAAATACAAACAGAACAGGAGCTAAAGTTCATAATGCCCAGATCAATGATGGAGTATGTCATTCAAAGTAATTAACAATACAAAGAAAACAATCAGGCGATGCTTCAGAATAGCTATCAATGGTGATCACTCCAGAAACAATCATCTATTTACATGCTAGTGTGATGAAAGAAAGAAGTTCTTCCAGGATTTATCATCCGTTTAAAGCACATTCCAACTATAAAAACTATGACAAATATCAATATAAGAAATTTAGTACAATATCATTGACAGATAAGTAAAATCAGAACTATGAATTGATAAAGGAGAGCTATCTAAGATATGTTTACTCTCCCAACATGAATTGGCAGGCATCATTATAATAGTTTCATATGAAACAGGAAAGTGCTCTTTTAGTTCAATATTATTCCATCTCAATAATTTGAATTCAACCCCCTCTTACTTTCTCATTACACTTTGTACCACTCTTCATCATTGAATCGTACATTAGTACGAACAACTTTCAATCAAGACACTATCTTATTATTTAGTATACTCCCCTAATAAGTTCGCACTATGTAATCATGGTTATTTTTGTACATGTATTAGCTTAAAAGTAGGGTAATCTTATTGAAAGCTCAATCTGAATAAAGAAAATAAATGTAGAAGCAATGTTCAAACATAGACAACAACAAATTATGGCTTAGCTTGGCCAAAAAAAAAAAGCTAATGCAAGAATGAAAGCACTCTTTTCTCATAAAAATATCCATTGCTATAATAAAAAAAATGCAACAAAGACTTCTAAGCAAGTTTATACCTTGCAAAAGCTTAGCCTCTGATAAACAATTGGAAACAAAATACAAATGGCAAAGGAGCCAAAATATGCAACTATGAAGCCACCTAGAACAAGTGTGCTATTAATGAAAATCTCTCCTTTAAAAATCTAGGGCAGGTACCTTGATAAGTGCAATCCGTTGTTGTTTGATGCCATTATAACTGCTCATAAAATGAAATTTAGGCGCCTTGAGGCTATTACTCATCTTAAACCTATTTGCTCGTGCAGATACTACCTCCACAGAAAAAAAAAAAATTTATTCATGAGAGCAGAGCACAAGCATTCAATGCAAAAAACCAACACGTTAGGGTCTGACGAGCGTTAAGTACCTGAATAGAATCCTAAACTCATACCATCATCACTAGACCGCATTTATGCACCCCTCTGCTACAAAACTTTGGCAAGTAGACTGTGCCAAAAACTCTCTTGAAGACTAACAACAAATTCAATGACCCTGGAGAGGGATCTAGCAATAAGATTTGGATTGCTTGTGGAGAGGACAAAAAAGAGGCATAAAATACCAAAGGGGGGAAAAAAAATTATTTCAACAATCAGGCTTTATAACCCTATTTTGAACAATTGAAATGGTCTAGGAGAATATTGGGAATGTACACCACAAAATATGTTCAACCCCTAACAACCGCCACAACATTGGTGCAACAATTTTTTTTGCTATTTTTTTAAAAGATGAAATATCATTACCTTAGATAAAATGTGAAACAAATATTTCCGTGAAAGGGTTGGAGTAGCTCTAGAGACAAAAAAGATTAGAGAGAGTCGTCTTAAATGGTTCGATAACGTTAAATGTCGACCATCCAATGGCCCTTTTAGTACATATTTTAGGTATGGCTTATGTTAAGAAAGATAGAGCTGAACCTAAAAAACTACAGCATGTTGCATAAAAAAATGATCTTAATTTATTAGAAATAAATAAAAAGTTACACTCAATATAACAAAATGGAAAAAAAATGATTCATGTAGCAGGCCCCACTTAGTGGGATGAAAGGTTGTTGTCATTGTTGGTATTTTATTACCTAACTGTGAAAAGGTTACATAACGAAGTTGATACTAGACTTAACCCAAATCATAATAGAAAAACAAATTTTATTACTTGAAGTAAATAGACAATTACAATAAAATGCAATTAAAAAGAAATTTACAACAGCACGACACCTAAAAATTTGAAACAACAGCAGACACGACACAAAAAATCAAACTAGAGTGGGATATTGGGGTGGTGGTGGTAGTGATCGGCGAGGGTTTAGAAGGTGACGGTAAGGTGAGAGCGAGAAGCAAGTGGGCGGATATGACAATGGACAAATATGTCCTTGCTGTCATGGGTGGGGTGGCAACAAGGTGGAACTTGAGTTTCTGAGGGCTGAAACAACATATATGTGGCAAAGAGGCAGTGAAGGAGGGTTGGGACAACTGTTAGATGACAGGGATTTGGTCCATGATGGCTAGGACAGCACGCGATGGGAAGGAGAAGATTTATGATGGTGTGATGGCAGCAAGAGTTGCAGAGAATGGGGGTTGAAATGTAGAAACCACAGAAAGAATAACATAAATAACTATTTTGATCGGCTGTAGCAGGGAATGACAGCGGGGAGCAGTGTGAGGAGGATGCGGAAGGGGAATAGCGGAAGATAATCACCATCAATGGAGAAAGATACAGTCGGAGCGACACCCAATCCATCAGATACATCCCTTAAAGGGAAAAACAGATGTCGACGACTGTCTTAAACACAGGGAAAAACTGAAAACACTCAAAATAAGGGAATCATAAAAATTAGACATAGATACTTTGAATTGGATTCCCCAATAAAAAGAAGGCGCCAAACCACCGTGGGAGCTGGCAGGCCCTTTCGGGTCTAGACCTGTTCGGTGCAGACAAGAGAAATCATGAGATCAGCTCCCCAATTTTTTACCCTCGCATTACTGTACCACTATTGTAGCTATGATAGCAAAATTGCTTCTGCATTACCGTAGCACTATTGTAGCATTGCTGGAGTTGCAGAGAGAAGCTCCCACGTCAGAAGCACTTATGAAGCATTGTCTACTAGGAAAGCAGCAACAACAACAACAACAAGCCTTTATCCCACTAAGTGGAGTCAGCTACATGAATCATTTTTCTCCATTATGTCCTCTTGAGTGCCATTTTTCATTTTATTCTAATAAATTAATTATTTTTTTATACAACATGTCCAACTCTTTTTCAAGTCTACCTCTACCTTTCTTAGCGTAAGTCAAACCTAAGACGTCTACTCTCCAAACAAGGTCATCAGATGGTCGACTTTTAACGTGATCAAACTATTTAAGACGACTCTGTCAAAATCTTTTATGTCACTGGAGTTGCTCCAACCTTTTCACGGATATATTCGTTTGCATTTTGTCTCTTAGTGTAAAACTACTTATCCAACCAAGCATTCTCATCTCTGCAACACTTAATTTTATGCTCCTCTTTTACATACCAACATTTTGAGCCATAAAACATTGCATGTGTCACCACCAACTTATAGAATTTTCCTTAAGCAATACTTTTCGATCGCACAATAGGCATGAAGCATTCCTCCAGTTCAACCATCCAACTTGAATTCTACTTAAAACATCTCCATCTATATCACCATCACATTGAAAAATAGACCTGATATATACAAAATATTCACTCCTATTAATGACTTGATCACCCCTTATTACAACTCCACACTAATCTACTATTACTAAAATTATATTCCGTGTATTCAGTTTTAGATATACTCAAAAAAAGTCTTTAGACTCTACAGTTGCCCTCCATAATTCAAGTTTTTCCTCAACCCTCTCTAGTAAAAAAAAAACAAAATAAAAGATACATCCTCCTTTAAATGTCCAGCAAGAGCATCATAATTAAAGCTAAAAGATTAGGGTTTAAAATCAATCCCTAATGAAATCCAACTAAAATAGAATAATACTTCGTCAATCCTCCATGTGATTGAAATAACAGCTCTAGTATACACATCTTTAATGACTTGAATATAAGCAATATTAATACATTTCTTTTCTAGAATTCTGCAAAGAACTTCTCTTGGAACTTTATTATAACTTTTACAAAATCAACAAAAATAATATGCAGATCATCCTTATTCTCTCAATACTTTTCCATCAAACCTTTCAGTAAATGTATAGCTTCAATAGTCTTGCTCGGCATGAACCCAAACTAACTTTGAGAAATTTTTATACCACGTCATAACTAATGTTAAATTACTTTCCCATAATTTTAATGTATGACATATTAACTTAATTCCTCTATAATTCACATACTCTAGTGTATCTCTTTTATTCTTAAAAATAAAAACCAATAGACTCATTTCTCACTCAATGGGCATCTTTTTTATCTTTAGAAAAAATATTAAAAAAAAATAGTAAGCCAAAAAATTCCGAGTTCTAAACATTTTAATACTTCTATTAGAATACTATCAGGTCCTACTGTTTTTCCACACTTCATTTTCTTTAAATCCTCTTCAACTTATGTTTTATTGATGCAATGGTGGAAATAAAAAAGTGACAATTAGGAATGCAAAGAAACAAAATATATTGGATAAAGGCAACAAATAAGTTAAGAGGGTAATGTCTATCCAAATAAAGAGTACCAAGCCCGTCGATTCTTGCTAATCAAAGAATGCCAAAGTTGCAAAGTTGTGAGAAGAATTATTGTATATAAATTGAATCTAGCAGAAATGGAATGATAAAATACTTTCTATTAATTATGTCGCTTCCAGAAAATAGAAGTTGAAATATTTATCAACTAAACCAAATAGTAGATAGAACATTGAGACTAATTTAAGCTTGAATCATCAACAATCTCCATTTCCAAACTTCCAAAAGTAACAAAGTAGAACATGGTTATTTTTTCAAGGGGGGCAATGAGAATAGGAGTAACTAAGAGACCCTTAATAGGCTGACAAATAACTTTCCCAAACATGTCTTTTGAAGTATCAGTATACTGACATATGCATATGTTCATACTTGATATGGAAAAGTAAGGAAATAAAGATATCTAACAAACAAAATGCAGCATGGAAAGGCAACCAAAAAAGGAATCTTAAATAGGTTTCAATACAAATAAAACAGTCTAAGAGCAAGGCGAAGGGAATAACTTC